AAAAAAAAAAAAAAAAAAAAAAAAAAAAGAAGATTGCATGTAAAAAGTATTACTTTTTACATCTAAAAACATAAAGCTAGGGGCTACTTATGTATCTGAATTAGAGTGTTGTGTAAAGAACATGAGGAACAAATGTTAAACCTACATTTTTTTTTGTGAGGCTAGAAACAGTGATTACTTTGAATATCTGAAAAATCAGAGTACACAATGCAGTGCAAAACAAGAGAGGCGATTGCTAAAGCTACAAATGGTATTATTTGCAAAGATAGTGGTTATTCTGTGTATGTAGAATTATACACTGAGTGAACAGCGCTGTGTAAAGGATAGGAGGGGTGATTGTTTTGAGTATGTGCATATAGAAGTAAAGCATGGAGAGAGCAGTGTAGCAGTTGCAATGATCCCTAGGGGTGTGCACTGACATCTAAAATAATTACAGACATACCTCGGTTTACGAACGCCTCGGTTAACGTAATTTTCGGTTTACAAATAAAAATCCATTGAAAATAATGGCTTGGTTTACAAATTTTTTTTCACAATACGAACAGATTAATTGGTTTTCAATGCATTACAAATTTTTTAATCATGTCCCTGTACAGTACTATGCCTTTAAAGTGCACTTTATAAAGAGTTTTGAACAGATAGACTTTTTAACCTTTTTCTGACCTCCGGAACGGATTAATTGGTTTTCAACGCATTCCTATGGGAAACCGCATTTCGGTTTACAGATTGTTCGCAATAAGAAAAGTCCCGCGGAACAAATTTAAGTCGAAAACGGAGGTACGCCTGTACAGGGCATGGGCAGCGGACGAGGAAGTGAGATGCTGCAGGTTTATTCAGGAACAGGGTTTACCCTCTCTTGATGCCCTACGAGAGCAGTATGGGCCTTTCCCAATGGATGTCTGGCGTTACAGACAGCTTCATAATTTATTCATAGCCTGTCCCCTAAAGTTCGCCCACTTTGACGCATTTTGAGAAGGGGAACACCCCAGTCCCTCATTCCATCTTGGTGTTCTACAAAATGCTTCAAATTGGAGGAGCCTGCTGGGACACCTTTCTACATACGGGAATTGGAGGGAGACTTTTAGTATAACTTCTCAAAAACCCAACTTGACGACCTGTACCGCTTAACCCACACCAGCTCTGTTGACACAAAGATGCAAGAAAATAGCCAATGTAGAGGGGACTCTTTACCAGTGAGTGACCAAATTAAAGCTAAGATTTACCCCTGTCCGGCTTGTGCTGGAGAGACTGTGGTCACCACGGTACTTTTCGCCATATGTGGTGGGAGTGTCCTAAGTTACGACCTTTTTGGCAAGATATTAGAGCCCAAATCAAGCTAATCCTTGACATTGATGTTCCTGACTCCCCCCTGCAGCCTAAGGTTCCAAGACATGCTGAATGGATAAAATTGGTGAACAATGTAATGGAGGCAGAGGAATGGATGGCCACATGCAAGGACCAATATAGCAAGTTTTACACTATTTGGGTCACGAGGATCCACTATACATCAGGGGCCTTGGGGACCCCGCAGCCCCCATCATCAATGCTTTTCCAACCTCAAGTGATGGTGTGACTGCCACTCAAAGCTTCTCCTTCCCAGGCCCTCTTTTTAGATTTGAATTTACAGTGAGGAACAGAAGTATTTGAACACCCTGCGATTTTGCAAGTTCTCCCACTCAGTTAGTCCCTCTCAGCCAGTGGGCCTTGAGGCCCCTGCAATAGGAATCGGATATCTCGAGCTCCCCAATTCCTTCCCTGATATGCACCTGCCTATGGGTCAAACTTGAAAACTTGACCCCTGCAGAGGCCTATGTCATGGTTTATGGATGTTCTTACACGGATGTATCCATCTAGCTCATTGTCAGCTATTTGTGATGATACTTCTGCTGCACAGTTTGCATGTCTGGTGCCGTTTCTTTAAACTTTATGTATGTATGAAAACCCTTTGAAAAAAACATACATAAAAATTACAATGGTAATGTTATTTTTCAACTTCCATTAACAGCCCAGGCTTTCCAGCAACAGTTAGAGGGTTGAGACAAACCATTTACCACTGACAGAGGTATTTATGTAAAACCTTTATCCTTTAATGAAAAAAAAAAGCTTGATGCTGTAACTACTTAAAATAGTTAACTGGAGTTCAGCTTTAAAATTTGTTAGTCACGTTCATCTACATTTCCTAGTGCATCGAACACTACTTTCTCCCCAGATTAACAAGTTCGTTGTTCGAAAGGGACTCCATTGCTCCTCCGTTCACAGAGCAGCAAGAAATTAAAAAAAAAAAAAAAAGTCTAAAAAAAAGGAAACTAAAAGCAGCCCCCGCATTTATGGACTGGTAAGCCCCAATGTATTACATTTTTATATATGGGTTTAATACCGCTATAAAAGTACAACTAAAAAAGGATGATTATGCAGAGACCAGGTAATGGCAGAACCACACTGATTTAAAAACAAACAAAAAAAATAGATTTTTATCTCCCACTGAGTGTCAGTGTAATATACAGAGGTCACAGTACACATGAATTCTAGATAAAAACAATAAACACGTTTACAAGCAGATTTTTATTTACAGATCTGAATGCAGCTGCCTTGTTTTCAATGGAGACATTCACAAATGTGTGCAAACATACTCTTCATTCAGATCCGTAACACAAAATCCAATCTGGAGGACACATGTATACACGTATGCCAGATGAAAGTATTAGGCGAAAAAAAAAAAAAAACCCCACACAATTTTAAGAAAGTATTTACTGATCATTACAAAGGTAATTTTGTGCTAGAAAAAATAATGCATTATACATTTTTTTACGCCCATGTTAATGTAGCCTTAGGTGTCATACAGACTGCAGTGGTGGACAATGTATGTATATGCATTTCTAAGGAGTAGTGGCTAGCCTGTGGAATCCAAGACTGATTTTTTTTAGGCAAACCTAGAGAAACCTGAGAATTCTACACCTTGGATGTGCCAGTAGACAAAAGTTTTCTGTGTAAATTAATTACCCTTTGTATTGCCATGCTGCAGTTTTCAGTTTGACACCTCAGGACCTCTTTCACACAGGGACATTAACTGCACAGCATGCATTCCAGCATTGGTACAGCAACCAGCCCTGCAGCTTGTAGCCTGTGAAGTCTCCTATATTCAGGGCATTCGTCCATGAATGCATAGCAGCCCATATGGTAAGTACAAGTCAGTATAGCTTTCAGCCCCATCCAGCTGCAGCCTTCCATAGATGAGACAGAATGGAGGCAGTGGGTCTGGATGCTACACCTGTGCCTCCTGGCTGCATGTAAAGCAATTTTTTAAAAATAACAAAAGTTTATACTTACCTGCTTTGTGCAATGGAATTACACAGAGCGGCCCCAAAGCTCCTCTTCTTGGGTCTCCCGCTGGAGAGCTCCTGGCTCCTCCTCTCTACTGAATGCCCCTATAGGAAGCGGTTTCCTATGTCAGCACTTGTATGGGCTTGCTCCCAAGCTCCACTACTTGCGTCTATAGACACAGACAGTGGGACTTGGCCCTGCCACCAGCTCCCTCGTCACTGGCATTGATTGACAGCAGTGGGAGACAAGGGCTTTCCACCACCTCAGCAAAGCCTGTGAGGCCAGGAAGTGAGGGGAGACAAAAGTTGCACACGGGCACAGTTGCGCATTGACGGCTCAGATAAGCATTGGGAGGGAGGAAGGGGGGTGTAAGGGGGTGAAACTGATACCTAAACATTTTTTACCTTATTGCAAGGAATGCATTAAGTTAAAAAATATTTAGGCTTCATAGCCTCTTTAACCAGTTCTGCGCCGCTCTATAGCAGAAATACTGCTACAGGACAGCATGGGTGTGCAAAATTACGTATATATACACACACATGTGATTTTGCAGTTCCGGGTAGGGAGGACGCACGCCCTACCTGTGCCACCATTCGTGGCCTTGGTTGTCAATCACCGGGTCCCGGCTGGTGATTACTTGTCAGCACTTGGTGATTGCCGAGCAGCTTCGACAGGGGGAGAACTGTATGTAAACAATGCAGATCTCTCCCCCTGAAAACTCCTGCACACTATCACATATCAGAGCCATACAAAGCAGTGTGCTTACAGTGAAGCTCACACACAGCTCCCATAAGTGAAACCCTTTGGTCGCCCCCAGATGTTAACCCCTTCATGCCCAGTGCCATTAGTACAGTGTCAGTGCTTTTTATTAGCACTGATCACTGTTTTAGTGACACCAAGTCACTGGGAATATCAGTGACACCAAGTCAGTTCCCCCCAGCATCAGAATGCCTGCCGCAGTCCCGATACAAGTCACTGATCACCGCTATTACAAGTTAAAAAAAAAAATAATAATAATTTTGGCCTAAATTTATGATGAAATTTGATTTTTAAAATTTGTTTGCTGGACATGTTTAATAGCAAAAAAGTAAAAAAAAAATTTCTCAAAATTTTCTGTCTTTTATTTATAGCGCAAAAAATAAATGCACAGGCGATCAAATATCACCAAAAGAAAGCTCTTTTTGCGGGAAAAAAAAAAAAAAAAAAAGACGTAAATTTCATTTGGGTGCAGCGTTGCATGACCGTGCAATTGTCAGTTAAAGTAACGCAGCACCGGATCGCAAAAAATGGCCTGGTCAGGAAGAGGGGTAAATCCTCTGCAACAAAAACAAATTAATGTACATTTCCATCTATTTGAGTGGCATTTTAATGCACCCCGACATCTGTCATATATTATGATGTTTATTGACATTCAGGTGCAGCATTATGGTGTGAATAGAACACATTAGAAATTGTTTTTCAGATGTCCTTCCACTGATCTGCGTTTTACAGCTGCACTAAAATGCAGATCAACGCACTAGGGTAAATTGGCCCTAAAGGCTGGGATGCATGCTGTGCAGCCAGGCACCGCCATGTACAAGGGGCCTCAATAAAGTGAAAATTGCAAAGTGAAACCCCAACACAGACCAATATAAACAGTGCCTTCCCCATTCACTTGGTATATATTTGGATTTGAAGTATTACAAAAACAGAAATAAGACACTTACCTTGGATAAGTCTCCCAGTGAATTCCATGCATCCCACTTTGCTTTGTTTACAAAGTCTAACATGCCTGGCTTTGGAGAATTGCAAGCTCCCTGTGTTGCCTGCAGGAAAGACACAAGACAAATATTAGTGCTAATTGGAAAGTAAGTACACAACAGATGTTCAAAAAAAAAAAAAAAAAAAAAAAAACCACAAGACTAGTTCATAATTTAAAAAAATTATGCAGTTAAATATGAATATCTAAGACAGACTTGTTGACTTATGGGGTTCTATCCAGCTGCACCTATGCACACTAGTAATCCAGTTGAGTCTAATTAATCTAAGTAACAGGACTTGTCAAATTCTTGCTGCTAATGTTCTTTGACTTTACGATTTGATCTACGCTGCTGAATTGACAAAATTACCCATAAGTCTGATTATAGATTTATGAAATAAGCGGTTCTTGTAACTGTCACTGACTAGCTACACAAACATTAGCAATGAATTGCAAAACAAATGCTAACTATTCAGTGTAGTCTGCAAATTCTCCTTCTAAGTCATCACGTGTTCCAGAGGTAGGTAAAGCGTGGCCATGTCTCATAAGCACCTCCCTAATGAATACTCAATCTTTTTGGGGGTCATTTGCCTCCAGTAAGCACCCTTTTTGACACTGCAGTGGTGTGTATTCACTGGGAGAAATTGTGCTTACAAAGGAGAATACAGTCATTTCACTGGTGCTTCATGGGCCTTTGATTTGTGTTTTGTGATTTTTGATTCACTGTATGTTAGTAAGATGTGAGGCTAGGTTCACACCTAAGCGTTTTGCATTTTGCAGAAATGCACTACAGTCCATTTAACATGATTTTCTATGTGACACGTTCACATCTTTATGTTTTCACGGTGCGTTTTTTTGTAAAGGGTCAGGGACTTTAATTGCAAAATGTTGCATTTTAGTTCAATAGACTTCAATGGAGACGCTGCAGAAATGCATAAAAAATGCATGCACAAAAATGCAAAAAGCAAATATGCAGAGAAGGTCTTCTGACTTTACTCTGATGTTGTTGATATGGATACTTTTTTTCCAGTTCAAAACAACCAGAGGGTTAGCAAACGCAGCTTCGGTATTACTCTTAAAAGAGAAAAAAAAAAAAATGCATTTGGGGCAATCGTCCAATAATCTAATTTGTTAGTACACAGCGTTCGAGAACTGATAATGACCGTTCATGGGAAAATATCCGAAGGGACAAGCATGAAATTTTTTTCATAAGAGAACAGAACGATTTTTATGTAATTAGTATAGTATTTGCACAGAGAAAAAAAAAAAAAAAAAAATCAATCAAGTGACCAATACCACGCATGCTTGCAAATGAAACAACAATACAATACAATACATGACATCACTTCCAAAGTTGTTTTTTGTCTTACGAGATTATTTCGTAACTTTAGTAACCTATTTGTTTTTGATATGAGACTAGCATGGAGACTAGCATGCAAAAAAAAAAAAAAAAAAAAAACGAACGATCACTTGTCTGATATTCTCGTCGTGTGCACTAGGCATTAGACAAAGGTTGATCTAAAAAAAGGTTGGTGGGGAGTTCTAAAGTTTATGAAAAGTATAATGGCCCATACAGTCTGTTAGGCAAGTGGGTGTCAGGAAACCAGGACCGATAAAGGCTCAGGGTCTCAGTGAGCTTTTCTATATTTTTTTTTCTTTAACTTTATGCATTCACCATACTCCGATACCTCCAATACTTATGACTAGACCAGGGGTCCCCAAATTTTCTAAACAAAGGGCCACATTAACGTCCTTCAGACTTTACGGGGCCCAGACTGTGACCTCTGGGAGAAAAATAATTGTCCTGACATCGGTGGGGGTAAACAATTCATCTTTGGTATTAGGGGGAGGAATAGCGCCCCATCAGTGGGAGGAACAGTGCCCCATCATTGGTGTTAGTAGGAGAAACATTGCCCCATCATTGGTGTAGTAGGAGAAACAGTGCCCCATGGTTGATGTCAGTAGCTGGAATTATGCCCCATTGTTGGCATCATGGGGAGGAATAGTGTTTTGTGTTAGTGGGAGGAAAAGTGCCCCAAGGGCTGGATAAAGGTGAGCAAGGGGACACAGTTTGGAGACTACTGTTCTAGTCCATTCTCTAAATGTGAGAAAACAAAAAAAAAAAATGCTTTACCCTATAAATGCTGTAGTGCCACAAATGACCAAGATACACCAATAGTCACATAACAGAATAACAGGAAATGCTTCTTTACTGTTACCTAATTAAAAGCAGCTAAGCTTTTTCAACACATAAAAACATGAAACATTTAACTACCTGCTTGAATAAAGCATATAGCTTCAGTTTGACCTCATTGCCAGGGTCTTTTCTTAATGTTTTCAAGTCATTCTGTGCCTTTTCAAAGTCTTCCTGGCTTGACTGCATATGTCGTGCTGTAGTATGGACACCACGGGCTGCAACACTCCTCGACATACTGGACGGGATGTGATCAAAAGGTTACAAAGCAAGTCAAAACAGCACAAATCTTTGCAGGTTAATAGATAACAGCATATTATATATTTGGCCACATGAAATTCTGACATCCAACCCTAAAAAGAGTTATTCCAGGTAACAAGAACATTCATTCATAATCATTTACAGACTGCTAATACCAATAAGGACCCTTTCATAATATAAGAAACTAAACAAAATCTCCTTTATTATGAGTTTTATACATTCTTTATTCCTTGCACCCATTTCCATATATTATATATTCTTTTGCAGCAACCTCCTTCCTTCAAGGCGACTGTGATGTGGTCAGATCAGAACCATGAATAAATTTCTCTCTGGGCATGCATAATCTCAGTGTGCGGATAAAAGGCCATAGCCTGTGTAATCTCAGGTCCAGATTAGGTGTTCAGAGGTTACCACTGATTAGAGCATCATACACAGTGGAATGGTGTGGTGTGAACAAGCACTAATAAAAAGTGAAAAGAAGGCCTGGACAGACAGGCTATGTTCCCTGCCTGTACTTTAGTGGTAAATTTACTGGAGCTGTAAAGCCAATCTCTAGCTGAAATGTATTTTTTTTTTTTAGATAGCATAGGAAATGGTTAATAGGAACAGTGGGAACCTCTGTTTTTTTTTGTTTTTTTTTTTGGGGGGGGGGGGGGGGGGGGGGGTTCTCTTGATTCATTTCCAAGAGACCAACGTCACTAGAACAGGAAGTGATAATAAATTACCGAAATATGTGCACAGCCTGGAATTAAAAGAATAATGAAAAGATTATAATTACCTAACTGTACAGTCTTTACTGCCTGCATTACGTTTGGTTTTGCTTTCTTTTTGGTTATTATTGTTATTATTAGTTTAAAGGATAACTAAACAAAAAGAACAAAAAGTTCAATATATTGCAACTTACAGTCTCAAGAACATTTTCAACAAATGCTTGATGATATTGCCATAAATGCAGTGTCTGTCACTTTCTTTGAGCCGCACCAAAAAATGCCTTCTTAGATATCTCCTGTAAACTACCAACTGCCCTGCCTCTCACATACAGTGGGTATAGAAAATAGTTACCTCCTTTAAAATTATCAAATTTTGTTGCTTTGAAGCCTTAAAATGAAGACAGTGTTTGTTTTATCCAGCTGTATTTACTCAGTGCAACTTAAAACATCCAAGTGTAAAATCAACAAGTCAGGAAAAAAAAAAAAATTCAAAAACAGAACCATTGAGTTGGAAAAGGGATCACCCACTTGTGTCAGTATTTTGTTGAACCACCTTTTGCTTTAATGACAGCCTTTAGTCTGTTGGGATATGTCTCTAATAACTTTGCAAATCTAGACTTTGCAATATTTGGCCACTCTTCTTGCAGGACTGCTCAAGTTCAGATAAATTTGATGGTGACTGTTTGTGGACAGCGGTCTTCAAGTCCTACAGATTTTCAATGGGGCTTAAGCCTGGACTCTGACTAGGCCATGCAAAGATATTCACCTTTCTCTCCTTTAACCACTGTGTGGTCATTTTCGCTGTGAACACCCCCATAACAGGATATTACCACCTTCATGCTTTACTGTAGGAATGGTGTTTTCCTGACAGTTCCATGTCAGCACAGCTGGGTAAGCCACTCCCCCCCATGCTTCCAGGACTTAACTCATAAACTTGAGCCTACCTGCAGCCTCAGTGTTCCTCTGTTTCCTCCCATGTGCAGGACCTAGGTGTGCTCCTCTACTTTGCTGGTCTAAAGGGCTGGCTGTCCGTCCATGCATGTGGGTTTCAGCTGGATGCAGCCCCGGGTGTACTTGCTGTTACCCAAAATCTAGAGAGCCCCGCTGCTGGTCCTCGGGGCGGCTTTTATCACAGCTAACAGCCTTGTCTGGGGTCCTTGTAAAGTGGGCAGTGGTGTCAGCAGAGCCTCCCCTAGGCACGCACACCAACACAGTGCCAGAGTTTACAGTGGTGGAGGTTGGGTGAGCTAAACTTAAAGGCTTCTTTCTGGCACCTTGACCATGCAGCTCATTTTTGTTCAAGTATCATCATATTGTGCGCCTTCAAAACAACTACACTGTCTTTTTCCAGAGCAGCCTGTATTTTTCTTGTGGTTACCTATGGGGTTTCCCTTTGTATCTCGAACAATTCTTCTGTCAGTTATGGCTGCAATCTTTCTTGGTCTACTTGACCTTGGTATCAATAGATCCCCACACTTTCCACTTCTTAATAGGTGATTTAACAGTACTAATTGACACATTCAAGGCTTTGGACATAATTTTATGTCCTTTTCCATCTTTACGGGGGGTCCATTTGCCTCCAGTTACGCAACACTTTTGACAGTTCTTTTCTGATCCCCCTGGCTCAGTATCTAGCCTAGTCAGTGCTTCCACGTAAGAGCTAAACTCTATTTATACACGGACACTAATTGCAATTTAAAAAGCCACAGATATGGGACATTAACCTCTAATTGGGATTTTACCAGTGTGTGTCACCTTGTGTGTCTGTACCAAGGCCAAACATTCCAGGGTATGTAAACTTTTGATCATGGTCATTTTGGTGATTTCTGTTATCATTATGATTTAAAAAGGAGCCAAACAACTATT